CCGACGTCTGCACAGTATGACCCGGCCTCCTCGCCGGCGGCTCCCCACCATGCTCACCCTGCTCATCGACCTCAAATAAACCACGATTTCAAACCCTCGATCACCCCCACTCCGTACTCGTTCAAACTCCCGGTGATGCGTCTCCATTTCCGTACCTGTTGAAGAACAACGTCATCCGCCGCATCGGCGTTCCCTCCACGATGTGGATCTTCTCCTTCAGGCTCCTCACGGTGTCTGTTTCGTCGACGTCTATTTGGATCTTTCTTGCCGAGAATTTGACCGTGATTTTCATTTTGGCGGCCGGCGGCGGCGGCGGCGGAGTTTGCTTGGTGGTTGAGAGGTGGATTTTGGTGCCGTCGGAGATGAGTGGGTAGTCGTCTAAATCGAGGCCGTCGATAAGCTCGCAGTCGCAAATAGTTAGGATTTGTGAGTCAAAAGGGATGCCCAGAAGGTGTTTGATTTTATGCTTGATTTCGATTATCGGTTCTTGATTGCTCACTTCCATGGAGAATATGCAGTACCCTGTCATTACAATGCTGATCTTCATCAATTTATTTATCACTTTTTTTTTTCTTTTTCCTTTTTTTTTTGGAAGTGATTAATTAGTTAATGAATTAATTAATGGATGAATGTGCATGAAAATTAATGGTATTTAAAGTGGAGAATAAAATCATATATCATGCTCATGTAGAACAAATGAGAGTTACCAGCTGTTTTTGGTCATCTTCATTTTGGAATTGTGAATGAGTTCATGCAAATAATGGGGAGATATCATATATATACAACTTAGCGCTCGTTACGTTCGAGAAGTTCGAAGTTTTTTTCCTTTTATTTGAGATTTTGTAGTGTGGTCGTATTTGGAACTTTGATTTTATGCTATATATTGAGTGATCTCGTGATCCGAAAATTTAAATTTGAAAAGGCGAAAGTCATTTATATCGGTGCTAGTCCACCGAAATTAGGTTTTATGTCGTCTTGATTTACAAAATTTCACAACAATCATCATTTTCATGTTCTTGTTTTCATTGCCTCGCTACACCCTATCCTTTGCACAAACAAAGTCCACCGGCGCCACAAGTTTGTAGTCGCGACATCTCCATCGCCTATTCTTTTAGAGGGTGTTTGAGTAAGCTTATAAGCTCTCCAATAAGCTTATAAGCTATTAATTTATTTATTTTTGGTAAATTTTCAAATGATCTTAAATTAGTATTTAGAGTATAAATTGTTTCTTAAAAAAATACTCCATTTTTTTTGTTTTTGAAGATTTTTTTTTTTTTGCTTGTTTTTGGTAATGAATGAACTTACACTCGGCCATATAAGTGCACTTTGTAACCCACCGTTATCATGCAATCAGTGGCGAATCTGGGATTTCATTAATGGGGCCAAATACACATTAAAAGATTTAATGAAAAATAACGTGAATAAATTAAAGACAAGAATGATTGTCCAAGAGTGGCCAAACTAGGAACAAAATTAAATTATTTTTTACAAAGCTAGAAGATATAAAAGAAATGGCGAAAAATCCCTTCAGGATATATATATATATATTTTTTGCATTTACTTGAATTTTAGGTGAACTAAATAATAAAGGTTGGGAGAACAAGTATAATATAATGGAATTTTTCCATTGCCGGGACTTGAGTCGGCTCTTGCCCAATGGTGCAATCGCCCTTCGTTAAAAGTCAAAATTTGCTATTTATTAGACTCATTTATTATTTTTCTTTGTTTTTTTTCAATTAAAAATGCTTAATTTTATTTTTTTTATATTAAACTAACAATAATAACTTATATATAAATATATAGTAATAAGAAAATTAAATTTGAGGGCGGACCACTGGCTTCCCACTGCATGCA